CGGAACTAACGACCCTGGAACTCCCACAGGACGGAGGAGATTCGAACACACACCGAGAAACCTGCGAAGAAAAGTTGGACTCCGCACCGCCATGGGAAACGGCCATTTGCCTAATTAGTTTGAAACGAAATACGGAAAAAAGGTGGACATTTATAAATGAGCTCGCGTCACGAGAGGGAAATGGGCCTACTATGCGTATTCTCTCGAAATTCGTTCATACACACGAGAGATGTTGGTGGTTTGACCTTTCCGTCGAAGATTAAACGTCAAAAAATGGAAACGATTTTAACCAGATGTCCCGCACCCATGTCCCTGCATTGCCGTTCATTCTAGAAGCCTCGTCACTTCAGCATTAAAACCTTATCACCCTCACTCTCCTCTTCCCCCCATCACCTCTCCCTCATCCTTCCTTTACCCTCGAAATCTTACCCTTGTCCTAGTCTTGATCTTCTTCCTCCTTATCCTCATCATGTTTCCTTATCTCTTTTTTTTTTACCCTCTCCTTGCTTTCACCTCCTTACCTTCATCCTTATCCTCATCCCTACTCCTTATTCTCAACGCCCTACGTTTATCCTAACCTCATCCCTTTCGTTACCTTCAAATCTCTCCTTACCCTGGTCCTCATCCTTCTTCTTACCCTCTTCACCTCTCCTTCATTCGCCTCTTTACCTTCTCTACCTCTCCTTATTTTTGCCTCTTTACCCTCTCCACCTCTCCTTCATTCGCTTCTTTACGCTCTCTACCTCTCCTTCATTCCCGTCCTTACACTCTCCTTCTTTCCCCTCCTTAACCTCACCACCTCTCCTCCACTCATTTCCTTACCCTCACCCTCTTTCCTCCCTCCATCCTTCTCCTCAACTCCTAACCTAACCCCCAACCACCTTTACTTCGCCCCCTCTCGTTCCCCTCGCCCCTCTCACTCCCCTCGCCCCTCTCATCCCTCTCGCCCCTCTCATTCCCCTCCGCCCCTCTCACTCCCCTCGCCCCTCTCACTCCCCTCGCCCTCCTCTCTCACTCCCCTCGCCCCCTCTCACTCCCCTCACCCCTCTCATCCCCTCACCCTCTCACTCCCCTCACCCTTCCCCCCTCTCACTCCCCTCCCCTC